AGAGGGTCCCCCAGTGCTCTGTTTCCAGCTGCCCCAAATCCAGTGTTGGCGTTGCCCTCCCACAGCCGTGGAGCCCTGGGGAAGTGATTCCTGCCTGGCCTAGTGGCATCCCTGTCCGGAGAATCACGGAATGGTTTGGGTGGGAAGAGACCCTAAAGCTCATCTCATTCCACCCCCTGCCATGGCAGCAACATCAGGTGCTCCAGGGAGCTCCGAACCCCATCCAGCCTGGCCTTGGGCACTTCCAGGGATCCAGGGGCTGCTCTGGGCACCTGTGCCAGGGCCTCCCCACCATGGCAGAGGTTGGCACTGGCTGGTCTTTAAGGTTATGTCCAACCCAAACCATTCCATGATTGCAGCCTCTGGGTCCCGAGCCGAGCTGGGCTGATCGCTGCTGCTGGGGCTCCGTGTCAGCTCCTTGGCTCCAGAGCTGTGGGAAGCCTGGGGATGGGGAGCTCTGCCCCGGCCAGGGAGGAGCACGGACGAGCTCCCTGTCCATTCCTGATCCACGTGGAGGTTTCACAGGTCCCCAAATGTCCCTGGTGCACCCGAGCTGCACTGAGCCCTTGGGATCAGGGTAACTGGTTCCTAGGGAGAGTTGCTACAACAGCACAGAACAAAGCAGGAAAAGGTGGTGGGGGTGGAGGAGGTTGGGAAGTTGATCATTGTGGTCCTTTCAGTTGGTGTGTTTGGGCTGGGTTTTTCTAAGTTGTATTTTTTAAAGCATTTGCAGAGAAAACATTTATTCCAGGGACTTGAACCTGACAGGTGCGGGGTGAGTGGATGAGGGCAAAACCTGCCGGAGAATATCCCCTTGGATCCGGGTTTTCGCACGAAGCCGGTGCCGGGAGCTGCGTTTCACAGAGCCAGGACCGTGAGGGACCCCATGGGTGCCACCGGACACTCGTCCTGCCCCGGGAGAAAACGCCTGCTGCGGGAATGGCCGAGAGGGAATCGCTCTGCGGGGAAATAAACGGCGGGGAGGCATCGGCCGGGCCGGAGGAGGACGGGGCCCGGCCCGCAGGATTCCCCCTTCCCCGGCGCTGTCACGGCCCAGGGAAGGAGCCGCTGGCTCCCGGCTCTTGAGCAAGGGGCCCTGGCTCGTTTCCTTCCCCCGCCGGTGCCCCAGGGCTGGGGGCGGGGGGGAAGATCAAACCGCTGTGATTGCCCTCCCAGGGGCTCCCTCGGCCGCTTGAACCCCCATTTCACACCGCCCCGCTGCGCTGCTAGCGCTGGCGACGTGCCTGGGCTGTGCCCCACTCCCCTGAGCTCCGTTCCCTGACGAAGGCTGTTTTCCCCGTGGGGCGGCAGGGGTTTAGCCAGGCTGGGGTTAAAGCTGGTGGGACTTCTCCAGCCCCTCGGCGCCGCCGCGCTACCCCCGGCCCGGTCCCACCGGCCCGGCCCTGCCAGCCCCGCGCCCCCGGGTTTGTGCCCGTGCCCGCTTCCCCCGGTCTGCGGCAGCTGCCCGGGCCCATCCCGGCTCCTGCCTCGCCAGGTACGGCTCTCGGCACCTCCCACTCCGATCCCGACTTCTGGCTGCGCCTCGGCCCTCCCCTGCTTCACCCCTCCATGCCCTCTCTGCCCCCCAAAAAAGCTTCTCCCCCCTCCTCCCCCTCTCAGGTGCAGCAGGAGGCAGCCGGAGCCATCGCCTTTCCCTGCTCCCTCGTCAGCCATTTCAGAGGCCAAGCGCTGACTACCAAAACTTTTCCTTGGGCTGCTCCAAAACTTTAAGGTTTTCCTTCTCACTTGTAGCTTGAAGAAGATTTTTCTGGGGCAGTTTTTGCCCAGATTTCAGTTAATGACCTGGATTCCTGCAGAGCTGTGGGGAAACAGTCAAGTTTAAGTGAGCCTTAGGCAAACAGACAGACTTGAGGCTACTCCTCCCTCAGTGAGGTGCCCTCTGTGTCCATCACACACCATTTTACCCCCCTTCCAGGTACTTTTAACTATTTCAGCTCATTAAGCTGAATTAAAATTGAAAACAAATGGGGGAAAATAATAAGAAAAAGGGTTGAGCGGGGAATTACAACTAAGTTTAATCAAACAACAGTTATAACATGACAAAAATAATCCAGGATGTATTCCCTGGTGGAATGCCATTCTGATTATTTTCGAGAAATCACACCAAAACTATTACAGTTACAAGTAATTAAATTTATTAGACCTCTGTATTCTTTATAGTCAGTTTTGGCCAATTTACAGCTTTTCTGGGGATTTTTTTTTTTTTTTTTTCTTTTTGGTTTAGACACAAAAAAAAAAAAAAAAAAAAAAAAAAACCCAAAAACAAACCATAAACCAGATATCACCAATACATCAACCCCCCCAACCTCGCCCCGTCACAGCCACCTAAAAAAGGGGGAGCCCTCGGCCCACCCAGCTGCAGTTTAGCCCATAAAAAGGGTCCGCGGCGACTCTGTACAAGGACCGAATGTTCCACCCAGCACTGTAAAAACCCCCCCGCGCCCCCCTGCCCAGTGTCACTCCCCCGGCTTGCAGGGGCCCTTTTCCTGCCGGGGCAGCTCCTGCTCCCGCAGCAGCCGCAGGTTCTCGGCTCGCAGCCTGTCCACCTCCCGCTCCAGCGCCTGCACCCGCGCCGGGTCCGCCGCCTCCCCCCCGGCTTTTTTGCTCTCCATCCTCAGCCGGTTGTTCTCCTCCTCCATGCGCGACAGGCACTTCTCCAGCTCCAGGTACTCCTTCACCAGCTCCTGCTTGCTCATGTTCTGCAGGCTCTCCACATGGTACCGCTCGTACGTCTCCGAGAAGTCCCTCTGCAGAAACTCGCTGCCGTCCCCCCCCATCCCGTCGCTGCCCCCGTCCTCGTCGGCCGCGTCGTCCAGGAAATCCTCCTCGCTCGTGTCGTCCGACTTGGCGGCCGCTCGCCGCGGGTACAGCCCGGTTTTCAGGTCGGGCTCCTCCTGGTCATGGTCCTCCATGAGGAACTGCGTGGTGTTGTAGGGAGCCACGGGCTGCCCCTTGGCGAACATCTCCGCTCGCAGCCGGGAGGCGCGGAGGCTCTGCCGCTCGTCGAACTGCTGCTTCTCCTCCCAGCTCAGCTTCGAGTACGGCTTCCAGCGCCGCTTCTTCTTCGACGGTCGCCGACGGTGCTTCTTCTTCACCGGCCACTCCTCGGTGCGTCCCACGGCCCGGTACCGCGGGCCCAGGCCGGGACGCCCCGCTCCACCCGCCGGTGGCCGCCCCTCGGCGCCGCCCGCCGCCGCCTCCGCCCCGGGGGGCGGCAGCCGCCCGGCATCGCCGTCCTCCGTCGGCGCCTCTCCGCGCTCGGGCTGCGGCTCGGGCTCGGACTGCGGCTCCGCCGGCGCCTCGGGCTCGGAGCGAAGCTCCGGTTCGCACTGGGGCTCCGGCCCCGGTTCGGCGGGCGCCGCGTCGGCCATAGCGCTGCTCTCGGCTACGCTCGCTGACGGGCGCTACCGGCGCCGCATGGGGCTGGCCCCGCTCAGGCCGCCCGGGACATGGCCCGGGGGAGGTTTAACGCCGCCGGGCCCGCCTCCCCGCGCGCACCGCACGCGCCGCCGCTCCCGACGCGATCCCACCCCACGGCCCAACCCGCGCCCGCCGCCGCCCGCTCCCGACTGCCTCTCCTCGGCCGCGGCCGCCCGCTTTATAGCCGCGCGCGCCCCGCCCCGCCCCGCGCAGGCGCCCTGCGCGCCCCGCCCCGCCGCGCGCCGGGACCCGCCCCCGCCGCGCGCCCCGCGCCGCCGCCACGGCCCCGAGCGCGCGGGCGGTGCCGCCTCGCGGCCAATCGGCGGGCGCGGGGGGCGTGCCGGCCCGCCGGGACACGCCCCTGGCCGTTGCAGCGACTGGCCGCCATTGGCCGGGATGGACGTCACTCGGGCGCAGCTCCACCAATCGCGAGGGGACGAGGGCGGGACCGGGCCGTACCACGCGGCGGGGGAGTCCCGGTGCGCGGGCCCGCGCGCGCCCCGCGACCTTCAGGCCCGCGCCGAGGGCAGCGCGCGCGCCCCCCCCGCGGCGGGGCTGTGGCACGGTCCGAAAAGAGTCCCCGCGCGGCGGAGGCGCCGCCGGCGGTGCCGCGGCCCGGGACCGGGGGGGTTGTACCGGGCCGGGCCGGGCCGTGCCGGGCCGGGCCGGGTTGGGCTGTGGGAGGCCCGGGAGGGGCTCCGGTGGTGCGCGGGCCCGGGGGGAAGGGGGCGAGTGGAAGGATCCCGGCGCTGTGCGGTGGTACTGCAGTTGGCGGAGGGAGATGTAAACAAACCGAAGCGGAAAGAAGTCCTTTCTTAAAGGCGCCGCGTCCCTTTAGCCGGGGCGGTGCGGAGCGGCGCTGCCGACGCCTGGGGGAGCGGGGGAGGGGCAAGGGGCAGGAGGGGGAGGGGGATGGGGGTCCCGGGCCTTGTGCTGGCCCCGGGCCCGGTCCCGCCACCCCCAGCCACGGTGGCGATGTCCCCTCGGGCCCCACGTTGGGGGGCGGGGGCTGGAGGGGTTTGGGGGCCCCGCTGGGGGACACGGGGCTGGGGGAGCCATGGACGGCCCTGGGGGCTGCCGGGGCTCCGTGTCTGGGGGGCAGCACAGGGGGACCGGGGCAGCCTCGCGGCCGGGCGGGGGCTCCGAGTCACCGCCTGCCACCGGCGGGGCCAACCTGCCCTGCCCGCACCGGGGTGGCACCGCCGGGCCCGGCCCGAGGAGCGCCCGGGGGTCCCCGGGAACAGCCAGCGGGACAGCCGGTGTGACACGGCCCGGCGGGGACACAGGCCGGGCACAGGCCGGGCCGCCTGCGCGGCCACACGGCCGGGAGGGGACCGGGCGGGGACAGGGGCCGGGCCGGGGCGTTTGGCCGCGGTGCCCTCCCCCGGCAGGGACGAGCAGCGGGGCTGGACCGAAAAGGCAGCTTTAATTGGGGCGGCTCGGTGGTGTCCCGGGCCCGCGGCTGTCCGTGCCCCGCGGGCCCGTGCCGGTGCCCGTGCCGGGAGCCCCGGCCCGCCGGGCCCGTGGCTGCTGAGGCGGTTCCCGCGTGGCTCCGTGGCTCGTGCGAAGCGGGTGGGCAGTGAGGGCGGCGGTGGCGGCGGTGCGGACGCGGTGGTCACCTCCGCCTGCCCTGCCAGCGGCGCAGCAGCCACTGCGTGACGAAGGGCCAGGTGGCCAGGAACAGCAGCGTGCGTGGGGACACGGCCAGGCGCCACCGGGACACGGCCTGCCCAGGGGACAGAGGTGTCACCGATGCCAGCAAACACCCGTCAGCCCTCTGCTGAAAGGAGCCGCCGCCATGCTCGGTGTCCTGGCACATCCCTCCTCCTCTGGAGATCACACCGCCGTCCCTGCTGCGGCCGTGTCCCCACGGATGTCACCTGCTGCCCAGCTGGGGTCCTTTCCCTGACCTCCCCCAGCCGTGTCCCCACGCCCCCGTGGGCTGTCGGGTGGGCAGGGGGACAGCGGGGCCACCCCGCAGCATTTCTCCATCCCCAACTCACCTGTGGAGCAAGTGCCGGGCCGGGCTCTGTCCCAGCTGCCTCGCCCTGCAAGACAGGAGAGGGTTTGGGGTGCAGGCGGGGCTGGCACCCCCCTTCCAGCCCCTGTGCCCTGTTAGAGGGAGGGGATGGCCTGGAGAGTCCGTGTAGGGCTCCTGGGAGGATCAGAATGGTGCAGCGGGCCAGGACCCCAGGGGCAGTGGGAACGAGGGGAGCATTGGCAGCGAGGGCAGCAGCTCCACCGGGGCCGGCTCAGGGCACCACCAGCCTCGGCCCCGCCAGGCCGTGTCACACCAACCCCGCGGGTCCCCGGGCGTGGGCAGCCGTGTGGCAGGCCCGGAGCTGCCCCCGGCCGTACCTGGGCAGCGCCGAGCGCCTCCAGCCGGCTCAGCCGCTCCCGTGCCCGCCGCAGCTCCTCCTGCAGCGCCCGCACCGCGCTGCCCACCTGCGCCTCCAGCTCTGCTGCCAGCTCGGGGCTGCTCCCGGGGTGCCCCCCGGCCGGCCGGACACCTGCGGGCACAGCGACGGGCACACGGGTGGCAGGGCGGGCACAGCACCGCCCGAGGAGCCCCGGGGCTGGCACTGCCCACCCCGCAGGCGATGCCAGCCCAGCCTGGCAGCCCCAGCAGCGCCCAGGCTGTCCCCAGGGCCAGGCACCACTGTGGCACTCCAGTGTCGCAGAGGTGGCAGTGGGTGGCCAGCCCACCAACAGGGTGGGTGCTGTGATATGTGTGGGTCACCTGGTGAAGGTGCCACCACCGGGCAGGACACCCAGGGCCAGGGCAGCTCCTCCCCGACCACCCCTGGGCCCAGCAAAGGCCCCAGACCAGCCTGGCAGACACCTGGATACTCCAGGCAGTGAGCAGGACACAGGCAGGGACGCGCTGCCAGCCCTGGGGACAGCCCAGCTCGGCCTGGGGACAAGTTCACTGCCAAGGTCAAGCAGCCGGAAGGGAACAGTAGCAGGGGAAAGGGTGAGACACGTGGGCTGTGCCCAGGTGAGGCAATGGCACCAGTCCCACGGGTGAGGGTGGCAATGTCACCCCAGGGCAGCCCAGCACGTCTGGGGAGAGCACAGGGGGTGGCAGGAGGCTCCTCCCTGCACAGCTCAAGGCCTGGTGGTGCCCCGACACCAGCAGCAGTGCCGGTGACATCAGGTGAGTGGCACTGCTGTCCCCAAGGCCTCCAGGGCACAGGGCCCAGCTTCACCCCTGCCCTGCTGGGCAGAGCTCCCCCTTGGCACCACCCACACTCGAAGGCACGGCTGATGTAGCTGGACCGGGGGCAGGAGCTGGGCAGGAGAGCCAGGGACCTGCAGTGCCTGCCTGGCTGCTGAAGGGCCAGCACAGCATCCCCCAAATTCTGGCAGTTTGGTGCCACTGCAGCAAACAGGCAAAGGAAGGGCTGTGTGCTGGGGGACTAAAGCTGCTGAACTGCTTGGGGACCAGGGATGCAGAGACAAGACACTTGTGGCTTCCTTCAGCTGCTGATGGCCCAACCACAGGTGCTGGAGCCAAACTCAGTCCCCTGGGGCGGTGGCAGCCCCCAGCCCACCCCCCAGCGCAGCCCATGGGAGAGGGCAGCAGCAGGAAGGGGCGCAGGGACAAGCTCTGCACCCACCTCTCTCGGAGCCCAGGGCTGGCTCTGTGCTGCTGCTCCCCTCGGCTCTTCTGCCTTCGCCCCGCTCGCCCTGCCCAGCACTGTGGGGCTCTGGGGGCTCAGCCCCAGCCTGGACCCCCTTTGGGGTGAGCCCCCGCACCTGCCCGGCCTAGGAGACGGGAGAGAAGGGCCTGAGACCCCCAGGGCAGGGAGGGCCATGCCAGGGCAGCAGTGGGGTCCTTCCCTTGTGGTGCATTCTTGGGCGTGGAGGGTGCGTGGGGCTGAGTGAAGATGAATCCCAGGGGTGACACCAGGCAGCATCTGGCTTGGGAGGTGACACCTCAGGGGAGTGAGTGCCCAGAGTTGAGGTGGCAAAAGAAGGAGGGCTTCCTTCAGACCCACCAGGCCTCACCATGGCACCTCAAGTGCCAAATGTGGCCCGTGGCAGCAGGGAGAAGTGGCAGGGGAACAATCCAGGTGGTGGCACCCATGTGGAGCTGCTGGTCTTGCTCAGCTCCACCAGCCCCCAGTGCCCCAGCAGAGCCTCATCACAGGGGTGGGGGGGCTGGGGAGGCTCCTCAGCATCCCTCAGTGACGGGGACCAGGCTCCAGGAGTGGCATGAAGCACAGGGAGGTGCAGGAGGGTGTCCCTGGGGGTTTCATGAGGCTCCCAGGCTGGTGGTGCTGTGCAGCATGGGCAGGGCAGGGGTGGCAAAGGCTCCAGCGCTTCCTCCGTTACCTTCTCCGGCTCCATCTGCTCCAGGGTGTCACAGAACGCGTCCCCCTCAGAGTCACTCGTCACCTGGCTCCCCTCTAGCGCCTCGGGGGCAGGAGCCAGCCCAGCCCCTGGAAGGGAAGCACAGGGCTGGGGCAGGGCTGTCTGGCTGTGTGGGGGCACAGCTGGAACAAGGGATATGCATGCCCAGGGCGAGGTGGGAGGGAAACTGAGGCACTGTGGGGGCAGAGGCAGCTCTGTTAACATGGCCATGAATCCAAGGACTGAATTCTCCCTTCTGCTGCCCACAGTGTCCCATTGGCACAACACGCAGGGCCCCTGGGGCAGCAGGGGCACAGGCAGGGACCCTGCCCAGCTCCCTGGCACTGCCAGCCCCAGCACTGGAGGCTGGCAGGGCTGGCACTCTGGCACTCGCTCCGTGACCATATTTGCTGCTGGGGGAAGGCTGCAGCGGCAGCGGGAGGAGGAACCTCCCTGCCCACCCCGGGGCACAGCCAGGGGCCCCTCGAGGGGGCCAGGGAGGGAAGGGGTGGCTGCACGAGGGGCTGGGAGAGAAAAGCCAGGGCTGAGGCAGTACCAGGGCTTGGCACTGTGAACCCCAGTGCCAAGGAGCTGAAAACGTGGCTTGAGCCACGGGAGAACATCCCCTCCTGGATCACAGACCTTCCAGGGTGATTTTCCCAGTCTATGGGGCAACAGCCTCCCCTTGTCCCTGCAGCTTAGCAGATCCTGGCCCCTCTGCACAGGCAGGAGTGAGGCAGAGCCAGCCCCACATGCCCAGGGTTACCCCAGTGAGGGCTGGACCCCGTGGCCCGGGCAGTGCCTGCAGCACCAGCAGGGCTGGGGCAGAGGTGCTGAAGCCAAGAGCTCCGTGGGTGATGGAGCCCCAGCCCAGCGCTGGGGGATCTCTGCCAGGTGCTGGTCCCACCAGGGACACCCACCTGGCCCGTGCTGCCCGTGCTGCTGCTGGCCAGGCTCGGTGGCCCTGGGGCTCCCCGGGGCCGGGCTGCTCGCGGGGCTGTCCTGGCTGGGCCCATCCTGCTGCCCCCGTCTCTCTGCACAGAGGGAAAGGCAGAGCAGGGTCACGCTGGGGCTCAGTCCTGCTGTCCTCGCTGTGCTGGCTCCCTGTGGCTGGGCTGGCCTGCCACACAGCTGGGGACATGCCAGTGGCAGGGAGCAGCAGCCTGTGCAGTGCCAGCAGCTGGCAGGGCAGGAGAGGAGCCAGGTGTGCTTGCTGACAGCCCAGGAACCCATGGGAGCTCACCAGGGGTCACCCTGTGCAGACCACCTTGCTCACCCAGGGGTGGCTGCGGTGTCCTTGTCCCCAAGCCCCTGGGGCAGCAGGCAGAGGGATCAGTGCTGGTGAGTGGCAGTGACAGTGCTGTCCCCTGGCAGTGCCCACGGCCCACCCACAGTAACAGAGCCCAGTGCAAGAGGCGTTGGCTGGAAGAGCCTTGTGTGGCCAGCAGCACCCTGAGAGGGCCCAGCGCTCCCCATCACCCTGTGGAGCCCACGGGGTTAATCCCAGCCAGATTTCCAGCAGCCCCCAGGACTTTGCTCCCTGCTCCTGGGCAGGCAGGTGTGTGGCAACGCTGCCCTGCTGCTCCTTCCCTCACCTCTCTGCTGTCCCCAGGCTGCCCTCGGCATCACAGGGGACCCATGGAGGGGGACAAGGCAGTTGTACTCCACAGAAGGGTAGTGCCAGGGCTGCCCTGCTCTGGATCCTCCCAAATTCTCCTCCCCATTCCCTAATCCTCCTCAGGGTGTGCTGCAGAGCGTGCACAGAGTGTGGCTCCCATCACCTCACACAGCACCTGGACAGAGTTGGCTCCAGCCACCACGTTCACAAGACTCTGGTGAAAGCCCCACTCACTGGAGACCTGTTGGGACCTGGATCCATCCATGGTTTGGGTTCCAGGTGCCACTTTATAATGTGTTGTTTTTGTAAATAAACAAAACCAAAGCTGCCCAGACCCCCAGCTCTATGCCCAAAAGCTGCTGGAGGCACCTGCCATGCTCCACACTCTGAAATCCCCTTTCTGCTTCAGTTAAGAGCAACCCAAGCTGTGATTGCAGTGTCTGAAGGCGGGTTTGGGAGCCTTTAACACAAATGACTCAACACCTTGAGGAGCTCAGTGCTTTGCACCTCAGTTCCAGCCACCTCTGGCTCTTGTTCCTTGTTCCAGCAAGTTTAGATTTAAGTGACAATGTTACCTGTAAGTGACACTCCCAGTGGAGAGCGACACAGCTTTTACATTTCAGAGAAAAACTAAATCTGTCTTTTAAAGGGATTCGGCATCAAAATGGAGAACAAAGCACCTGGGTATCACAGGAGGGAGCGGCCACCCTGGGGCCAAGCCTTACAGACAACTGGTTTTGGCATCCCAGAAAATCCCATTTGGTTTTGGTTGGAAGGAGGGGGTGACAGACACAGGGCAGATGTTGGGGAGTGAGTGTGTTTGCCAGGGTTCTCCCAAAGCACTGACAGCTCACACACCTGACTGTGAATTCGCCCTAAACCCCTGTGCTGGGAGCTGATCCTTCCCCAGCCCCCCCTGCTCAGCAGTCAGACTCAGCCAGGCCAGCCCAGGCAGAGGCACAGGCACGGAAAGGGCTCGGAAAGCTCCTCTAGCCCAAACCGGTTCAAACAGTCCCGTTTCTCAAGCCCTGTTTCTCCACATGCCCTCCACGCAGGAGCTGCCCGGCCTGTCCAGATGTTCCCGGAGCCAAGGGAAGCAGAGCCCAGCAGGAGCTGATCCCTGCCCTTGCACACGGCCGAGGGCCACCGGGAGCCCAGAGCTCAAATTCTCACTCAAGGTTTTGTGGAGAGAAAGCCCAGAATGTGTCACACACAGGGACAGCAGTGTCACACACAGGGACAGTAGTGATACACACAGGGACAGTAGTGATACACACAGGGACACCGGTGTCACACACAGGGACAGCAGTGTCACACAGAGGGACAGCAGTGTCACACAGAGGGACAGCAGTGTCACACAGAGGGACACCGGTGTCACACACAGGGACAGCAGTGTCACACAGAGGGACAGCAGTGTCACACACAGGGACACCGGTCTGCCCCGGGAGCCCCTCGGCAGCAGCAGTGCCCGGAAGGGTCGCTGGGCTGTGGTGCGTGCACCCTGTGCCCGCTCAGGGACCGAAGTGGAGCCGGTGCCGGTGCCGGTGCCGGTGCCGGTGCCGGTGCCAGCGGGAGCGCCGTGCCGGGAGGGCGGCACCGAGGGCAGGGATGCGCCGGGCGCAGCCGGGGCCCCACTCACCCCCCTTCCTCTTGAAGAAGGACTCGGGGGGCCGGGGCATGTCGTGGATCACCTCGTAGAGCGGCTCGAAGTAGCGGAACATCTCCTCGGTGCTCTCGTCCATGGGCACGGTGTCGATGACCTGCGGAGGGCCGCGGCTGGACACGGGCACGGCGCCGCGCCCGGCCCGGCCCCGCCGCCCGCCCCGTTACCTTCTGGGCCACCTTCTTCATCTCCGCCACGTACGCGGCCATCGCCTCCTCCTTGGACATCGCGCCCAGGCTGTGCCAGGCGTCCCTGCGGGGCGCGGCCGTCAGCGGGGCCGGGGAACCGGGCCCGACCGCACCGGAACCGGGCCCCGCTCTTACCACTTGTAGCGGCCGATGGGGTCCCAGAAGCCGGGCCGGGGCCCCTGGCAGCGCCCCGCCGTCGCCTGCTTGTAGTAGCTGTAGAAGCGCAGCATCTCCTCGTACGAGGGCCGGTACGCACCTGCGGGACACGCTCAGCGGGGCGGCCGGCAGCGCGGCCGCCCGGCCCCGGTGCCGGCCCGTACTCACCGCTGCGCGGCAGCCCCTGGATCACCCGCACGGCGGCGCGGAACTGCGCCCCGCAGCGCGGCTCCTCCATGGCGGCACCGGCACCGGCCCGCGTCCCTCTCCGTGAGGGGCCGAGCGGGGCCAATCAGCGCCTGCCTTACATCCGCCTCTCCGAGCCGCGCCCAATCAGCGCCCGTCTTGCATCGGTCCCTCGGCGCCGCGCCCAATCAGCGCGCGGCTCCCGGAGCGGGTCCCGGCCCCCCTCGATCTCCCGGCGCCGAGCGCGGCGCGCGCGCCCCCTGCCGGCCCGACCGTGCGGAGCGCCGCCTGGCGGAGACGGGAGGGACTGCAGCGATGGAGACGGACAGGGACAGGGACAGGGACAGAGAGACAGGGATGGGGACAGAGAGACAGGGACAGAGGGACAGGGACAGAG